CAGCCAGGACATGAACCGGCACCCCTGTGGGATCTTGGATTGTGCAAGGCAAGGATTTTAGCCATTAAGCTACTGTACCTAATCTGTGGTACATTTGGCTCCATGTAGTCTTGACCCTGATTTTCAATTGAGTTTGCAATGGACACAAATTCTCAAAGGATCCCCTTGTATTGCTTTTTCTGCCTGTTTCTCATGATCCTGATGAAAAATGGAGATCCTCACAAAGTTCTTGGAAACTATAATTAAAAGATAATTTGGGGCCTGGCGTTATAACCTAGTGGCATATCCTTGCCTTGCAAAACACTGGGATCCCATATGGGTGCCAGCTTGTGTCCCAGCTGCTCCACTTCCCTTTTAGCTCCTTGCTTATGCCCTAGAAAGGTGTGGAAAACCAAGAGGAAGCTCCTGGCTCATGGTTTTAGATGAGCTAGCTCTGACCCTTGCAGCCACTTGGGGGAGTGGACCAGCAAATAGAAGATCTTTCTCTCTGAATCTCCTCTCTGTATATCTGCCTTTTCAATGAAAAAAAAAAACAATTAAAAAATTTTAAAAGATAATTTGGCTTAAATATTTCTTGTGTCATAAGATGGAGTTCTCATAAAATTTTTGAAGCCCTCTGTCTAATGAGAACACTTTCAGGAGTTGACACGAGGCAAAATTCTCCTCGAATCTTGGCTTTTTTGATTGCTAACAATGCGGGAGAAAACCATTCCTAACCTTCAGAAAGACGACAGTGAGGAAAAGAAAAGGTGAGATTTGGGCAAAGGCAGCATCAACTATTTGATGTTGCAAGTGCACAGCTCAGGGAAACAGGACCCAGAGGATGAAAACTCAAGATCTTTTCTGAACCCACCTACTTGCTAAACACATGAACCGAAGGCCTTGACACTGCTGCTATTTTTCTATGTTGCCTGCCCATGCAGCTGTTGAGATGACCAGCAACTGATTGCCATTCTTCTTAGTTTTCTACCTGATTTGAGGGCCATTCCACAATCAATTTCATTACATGTTTTCTTTCAGCACCCTCACTTGACAATGGAAATCATCAAAAGGTTCAAGAGTTTACCTAAAGAATGTTCTTCCTCTTATTCCTGAGATGAATTTCAGGGAAGATCCTGGTGTGCAGCATGCTATTCATGGTAGTCGGTGAGTAAAACCAAGAAGTCTAGATCACATTATTGTAAATATATAAAGACCTACATCAACTAATTTTTTTATACAACCGACAGAGTTGGTTGCTTCTTAAAATGTATTTGAGAAGCAGAGAGACTCCTCCCAGCCAGGAGCTGGCAACTTGGTGTGAGTGCCAGGAACCCAATTACCTGAGTCAGCACGGCTGCTTCCCCACAGGGTACTGTCAGGAAGGTGCAGTGGGAAGGCAAGGCTGAGTCTTGAACTTTGGTAATCCAGTTTGTGGGACAAATGAAATTCAGGTTGAACACTTAAAAGTGAAGGCTTCACTTCTGTGTGTGTGTGTGTGTGTGTGTGTGTGTGTGTGTGTGTGTGTTTTGGGTGGGGCAGGGTTGGGTAAGGTAAACAGTATTATGTTTCAACTTGATTTTTTAAAAAAATCTGAAACCATTATTTCCAAAAAAGTTCAAAGTGCTCCCTTCCTGCTTTCATTCTGTTGATGCTATTTCTAAATGATCTGAAAATGAGGTGCAAAGTGGATGTTTCCTATTTCAATATATACTCTCTAGAATCAAATATTCCTCCTAGGCAACTGGAATATAATCCTAACATTGGGAAAATAATATTGATCTGACTTGATAAATCTGTTAAAAATCCCTTGAAACTGCACCGTTCATGCCCTTGATGAAATGTTCTTAGGTTTAGTTTCTTTTTCTCTTTACTATCCTTCAATGTGGGGCAATCTTGACTGTCATAGGCTTGATGTTTTTGCAAGAGTATGCTTGAGGCTTCCTCCGTGTTTGACGGTGCGTCATGGCTATGTATTTATACTTAAGAAATAATGCTGTGTTCCTGGTATATCAGGAAGGTTGATTTCTCTTGTGGCTGGTTTTCATTTATGTAGGATTTTACTAGTTGTTTAAGATGGTATCTCCTAGATATTATAGTCACAATGTTTAGAAGTATGCAGTATTAATAATAAATAATTTAATGAATATTTTTAGGGATGTATTTTAGGATATGGGTATCATGTTTCTTATCAAACATTAACCCACCAGTTTTAGCATCCATTGATGAGTTTGGCTTGAATTAATTATTACAGTGGTGGTTGCCAAATGGTGGTTTTCAAACTGTTTCCTTCATCTCTTAGCTGCATTTGACTACAGAGATCTCTTTTCATCTCTATCAACATGAACTAATGTATTTCTGGTTTATTCCAAAGGTTGCAATCTATTAGTGTCATTAATTGTTTTGATTTTTATATTCTAGGTTTGGCTAGGGGGAACCCCTTCAGGCTGACACTTAAAGTGTTTGGGTACACCTCCATAATTCTTGAAGTACCATTCCTCCACTGGAACCAGTAACCCTGGTTCCAGGATATCCTATGGCTATCGGAGTCCCTTACATAAGAGAATAGTACTTGTATGTAACCCATGTGCATCCTCGATGTTTACTTAGCACTCCCATTAAAATGTACATGCTTTTTGATACCTGCTATACTTGAACGTTAAATGAAATAATGATGAAGAAAACTGTATTCCGTGCTGAAGGAAACTTTTAAGAATATATTTTTTTTAACCACACTTGTATGAATTGGTAAAGGCAGAGGGTAGCCTTTATACAATTTCTTGCACACACAAAAAATTAATCTAGTTTGATCTAGTGCACCATGGTTCCTTGTAGTTCAGAATGGTGTTTAGAAACCAATATGTTAATGTTAGATGTGTTCATTGCTGCTGGTATGGTATTGGTTTTATGGCTTTGCAATTTACCTAACTAGAGACTATATTAACATATATATACACTTAAGCTTTTCTGTCTAGCATTATTTTAAGTTGTTTCACAATATTTCAAGCCACACCATTAGATCTTTTCCTTTCTATAGTTGTAATTACCCTTTCAGCAGTGAGAAAACTGGCTCCTAAATCCTTAATACAGTAATTTTTTTCTCGATTCTCCAATATATAGACCAGTGTGTAGGTCCTGGCAACAAGCAATATTAAATTGGTCATTTTATACATATGTATTCATACATGGGATATTAGACATGAAATCATGTGCTTGTTTTTCCAAAATGCCATATGACACCTGGAAGTCTCTCTGGCATCTCCTAATTTCTCATGAATTTGTTGGTATTTTTTGAGGGAAGCCCCTTACAAGGCCTGTCTTTCAGATGAAACTGTGGGGTCTTTTCTGCACTTGCACATGGCCGTTGACTCATGCCATTCCTGAGCCTTCAGGAGCTGCAGGTCTCAGACAATGCAGACCTGCTTCTCATCACGCCTCTATCTCAGTCAGTGGCCTTTTGTCCTAGTGTGGAAAAACAGCCCTGGTCAGCTCCACAATTACACCTACACCAACCACTGAATCTAGGGAAAGAAGGGTTTCAGATCTCAACCTCATTGTATTCTTGAAAAATACTACTCTAGTTACATTTAAGATGTTTGTTTGGAAGGCTGATTGAAAGTCAGAGATTCTGTCTGTTCATGCATTTCCCCAAATGCTTGCAACAGATTACTGGAACTCAATCCAGGTCTCCCAGGTGGCTGGCAGGATCCCAACTCCTTGAAATATCACCTGCTGCCTCCCAGGGTGTACAGTAGCAGGAAGTTGGAAGTGGAGTCAGGACTTGAACCCATGCACTTGCTATGAGATGCATGAGTTTCTAGCTGTAGCTAAACCACTGCACTAATACCCATCTTCTTTCCTCTGTCTTAACTTTTACTAACTACATCATCTTAGCTTGTCTTGGTGGCATGTCCATTTCTCACGTTAGAAGAGGGCCGAACCCAAGGCAGGTAGGTGCTCATGGGTCTGTATTGGCTAAAACAATAAGCATATTCACCAGTTGATATTCAAGGATGGGAAAAGGTGTGCATTGGGGAGGAGCCTCAAATCTGGCTCTACAAGGATGAAGGCAGCCGAGGCCACTCATTTTCAAAGCATTCAATGCTCCCTCTCCATTGTTTCCTGGAGACATAAAACAATTCAAGAATATTTTCCCTGGCAGTTTACTGATTCAGTCACTCATTGTCAAAACTCCCACATTGAAGAAAAGACAGTTCCATATGCTTTATCTTTTTCTGGCTTCAGCATTTCCTCCCCCCTCCCCCCCCCGGTTTCCCCAAGGATATTTGCAGGGTTAATTTCTCTTGAAAGTTTTGTGGTACTTTAAGAGTGATCACAGAACACTCCCAATAGAGCCTGTGGTGTAAATGTTGAGTAAACAAGAGTGATGCTGTTGGCAGCAATACTGCTGACCGTCTCTGTGACTTGCTTTAATTTAGAGGGCGCCAGCTACACGTTAGCAAGGGCTTCTAAGGGTTCCGGGCACGGCTGCCGGACCTGGGCTATAAAAGATCCCTTTAGCCACGCAAAAGTTTCCGGAAAAGGACCAAGGAAATCGACAGAGAGAGCCTTGGTCTGGGCAGCCTGTCTCCGGCTTTCTCTGCGGCTGCTGAGGTACCAGGTTTTCTCCTGAGCGAGCCAAGCCTGTCGCTTTGGCGGTGCAGGGAATAGGTGAGCTGAGCAGGGTGGTGCCGCCCCACCCCAGAGCAGGAGGCGGTCAGGTGCCTCGGCCCCGCCCTGGATGCCCGCCCCTTTCTTCCCTGCTCAGGTGGCTGCTCGCAGGTGCGCGCGCGACTGCAGCTCCGCTCGGCATCCGACAGTGGGCGCCGGTGCTGCAGCTCGGGGGCGGCGGTGGAGCTGAGAGACTTCGGGAGTTGGGGCAGCTCCTTGTGCTGGGCCCTACTGGGTGGCTAGAGCTCCACCCGGGCCCCCTGGTTCTGCCAGCTGCCAGCACCAAGGCCTCTCCTAGCATTCAGGCGGCCCTGTGGTGGAGCGAGGGCTGAGTGGCCGGCAGTGTAGAGAGCCAGGCGGGCCCGGAGCGCGTTGTGGAGACTCCACAAGCACCCGGCGCCTTGGCATCATGCGACCCTCCGCACCTCCTCCTCGCCGGTCAGGGGCTTCGCTCTGGGTTTGTTGAGCCAACTGCCGAAACTGGGAAAGAAGCGGCGAGACGCTGGAGAACAGCGCGGAAACGGACTCCACTCTTCCCCTCCGCCCCAAGAGGCTGCCAGTCCCGGGTTCCCTGGGCTTGTGTAGCTTAATCATGAACCTGGCGCACGCTTGCCTTTAGGAGAAATTCAGAAGCCGGAGGGAGAGGCCAGGCAATTTCTTTGGTTGCTAAGGTAATTTGCAGTTGTGACAAAAACGGGAAAGATGGTGTAGAACAGCATCCACCCCCCCCTTGGATATTATTTTCTGGGTGTGGGCGCTTGCCCCTTTCAGACGCTTGACAGGTGCTGCGCTGTGTGTACCGTCTGCGATCTGGGGACCTCGAAGCCCGGGCTTACATAAGGGGCCGGCCGGCTGGCCTGAGGACTCCCGTGGGATGGGTGCGGGTCTGCATGCAAATCGCCTTCCTGGAGGAGGAGGGGCGGCGCGCACCCACTGGGGCGAGAGCGCTGAGCCAAGGTGCTTTTAGGGATTGGGCGCCTTCTGGTGTTGTGATCCCAGGTAGGGTGGCTTTTAACTCTTAGGCAGACGTTAACTTTTTTTTTTTTTTCCCCTGTGAATTTCAAGCTGGTCCATTTGTGGTCTGGAAGAAAAAGCAAGGGATCTCCGTGGTGAGGTTAGTGACTTGCGAGCTGCGCTGGGCAGGGGAGCGGTGGGTAGACAGCGGCCCTGGGAGTGTGACAGCTGCGCTGCCTGTGTGTACAGGATGGTCAGGCTGCATTCAGAGACAGGAAAAGTGACCCAGAAAATCGGATTTTGTTTGGAATGAGAGCTGCTATATTTCGTTCTCTTTAAGGAAACGTGGTGGAGTTGGAACATTCTTGTTTGTTGTGAAGAAGAGTGGTGTTTTTTCTGCTTCCTGTTGGGGATGCTTGGAGTCTGGTTGGCTTAGAATTGTTCCCTGGATGTTTATGAATGCTTGGGAATGAGATTTACAGATAAGTTCCCACCAACACTTTTTTAAAGCAACACCCAGGTACAACTGCAAAAATAATCCAGATTAGATCAAACCTGGCCAGGGACACTTGTCCTCTGCAGAGGGGATGAAAGACGAAAGAATATGAGGTGAAGTGGTAAACATCAGAATCAGATGGGAGAGTGAATTACAAGTTTGTGTGTGTTTGGCTTGTCAGAGTGCTGGCTTCAGATTCAAATCTCAGTAATAAGGCCCTTGGAGGTCCAGTCTGTCAGCAGACGAGCAATTGCGCGGAGCGGTAGCTGTGCTGTCGGCGGGACCCTGTGTGAGTTGTCTATTGCTTATTTTGCATTATGAGTTGTGCAGTGGATGGGACTAGCCTGTGAAACAAAGTAGAAGACTAGGGGGGAAATTGTGGCGCTGGGAAGAGACGCCTTGTAAGCCAAAGCCCGTATGCTTGACAGGAAAAGCCGAGGTAATAAATTCTTGAGTTCTCTGGTCCAACTAGACTGGATTAGGTGAACTTAGTGATGTCCTGTGCTGTAAACTGCATTGTCCCAGTGCCGCATGCTTTCCCGCGGGAGTGTGCGAATTCTAGAAAAGCCAGCCGCTGGGAGCTATTTTATGTTCATGTTCATTCCATTGCTTCCTTCCATCCTTCTGTTTCCTTAAGGGCTTGTGCTTAACCTGCAAGTGAATTTGTGTTACTGAGATTGACAGCCCGAAAAACCCAGACCCAAAAACAGTTGTTTTTCTTCAAAACAACCAGTTTGTCTTATCGAGTGAATAACTGGAACAGTGCTGTTGCAGCAGACATTCTTTTTATTTATTTATTTTTATTAATTACATTGCACGATGTGACAGTTTCGTAGGTACTGGGGTTTCCCCCCACCCCTCCCCACACACATTCTTTCAATGAGTCCTCTTTCTGACTTATGTTGGACCTGTGGACTGTGATAGCCAGGGCTGATGCTCCTGAAGTGAGCAGATGCTTGCGGAGAATGAGTTGGGGATATTGTGGACAGTGAAATTTGCCAGTGTTTCAGACATCTTCTGGTTCCCTAGGGAGAGAATTTTCAGTTGAAGTAAGTTTATTCTCATCGTGGTCTTTCAGATCTCCTCCTTCCCCATTGGACTCTTAAGATTTTGCCAGGAATTGCTGACCATTCTGTTTTGTACCAAGAGTTACACGTCATGGAGATAAGGATAAGGAGCTCTGTGTCACATAAAGGGATGCGCTGACAGACCTCAATACTGGGATTAATTTTTCCTGTAGCTCCACAGTGAGCTTGTCTCACTTCTTAATGCTTTGAGCCTAGGAAGGCACTTAACCTCTTCATTTTCAGGGCCAGCCAGAGGGCATGTATTCGCTGAATCCTGTTTTCATCGTAACATATGGCCTGGTATGAACAATGCCCATACCACACACTGCCCTGCTATATGGGATGGGATAGAAATTACAAAATAAGCCTTCATGTTGAGTGACAAAGGCTATAATATTTCCAAAAGCAGTTTGATTTCTCTCCCCCGCCCCCAACTCCCGTTGATGATTTTAAAAGTAGTATTTAGCCGTTGGGGATAAACGCAGGAAAATGCAAACGAGAGGCGATGTGTAATTCCCAAGGAGGATTTCTTCCAATCGGGTAATCTCTCAGGCGATATTCTCGTTTTGTGATTCATCAGGACTGTGCATCCCCACATTTTTAAATTTGGTGAGCAGAACTCACATGTGTGAAAGGCTGGAGGAATCACCCATTTATAAGATGACTCGGTTCTGTGTTGCTCGTGGTCCTGGTTTTCTAAGATGGTGGGCTGTTTCTCTTTGAAAACCAGTGATTCAGTGGGGCGTCAGTGATCATTGGGGCTCCCCTTCAGAGGTGGGGACTGAGCATTAGAGTGTAGAAAGCCCATGTCTTGGCTTCCTGGTCTTCCACTGGCTTCTCGAAAGGCCTCTGACCTCTCTTTCAAGGGCAGATGGCTCCTTTATGTGGCTCCATCAGCTTGCAAACTGTGGCTTCTCTTGTGATGAGAGTGGATGGTTTGTGTGAAGAGGGTTTCCTCAAACAACACAGCTGGGGTGAAACCCCAGAGGCTCTCCTTCCATCTGTTTGGGGTTGGCCCTGTGAATTTACGTTTTTTTAAAGATTTATTTTTATTGGGATGACAGATATACAGAAAGGAGGAGAGGAAGATCTTCCATCTGCCGATTCACCCCCAATGGCTGCAATGGCCACCGCCGTGCAGATCCGAAGCCAGGAGCCTCTTCTGGGTCTCCCACACAGGCGCTGGGTCCCAAGGGTACTTGACTGCTTTCCCAGGCCACAAGCAGGGAGCTGGATGGGAAGCAGGGCCGCCGGGATTAGAACTGGTGTCCATATGGGATCCTGGCGCATGCAAGGTGAGGACTTTAGCTGCTAGGTTACCATGCTGGGCCCGTGAATTTACATTTCTAATGAGTCCCCAGATGGTTCTGACTTGGCTGGTCTGGTCACACTGAGATCCCAGAGGCAAGCTCCTTGCAGGGGACATTAACCGTGTTTCATTTTTCTCTGTATCCACCTACACAGTGCTCAACAATGTAGCTGCTTAGAGATACTCACTTAGGGTTGTCTGAATCCCTGGCACTTATCTCCAAAGAGGGAAAAGCTTTGTGGTTGAGAGAGGAGAGAATCATCATCCAGCAATGGAACCGTTAACTCTATGAAAAGTCATGAAACCCACTTCTTCAAACTGCCAGGAAAGCAAAACCCGTTACCAATAGGCAGTGAAAAGAAACACAAAACCTAATGAATTCTGTTAAATAACTGGGAGCACCTGCTGGAGAGGCTGACCTTGAAGCTTACCGAGTGCTTCACCATTGCCTCTTGAGACCTCTACGAGGCAATTCATTTTCATCCTCATACACATATTCTTAAGGAGAAGGGAGTGCACTATTAATTACCCCAGTTGTGGCTAAGGCAAGCAGTGGCTCAACCCTCTTTCCTCCACATGGTAGAATCCTAGAATCCTTTCTTGAGGTGGGCTCTCGTTTTGACTGAGAAAGCAGGTAAACATGTTCTGGCGTTACAGCTGCAGAGATGGTAAGTGGCAGCAGCAGGACTCAGGACGCCGCTGCCTGGCACCAAACGGTGTTGCTCTGTGCCTTTCTGTCTATGAACACTGAGTTGAATGCATTGGATGGCTTGGGGCTTCCAGCTGGCTGATGTCCCCCAGCTAGGACTCAAGGCCCTCACTGTGTGGCTCCCTTTTGAATAGAAAATTCATCCTTTTCTTCCACTTAGCTGTTAGAAATATAAAGAATATTTTTTTAATGACTTGAAACTGAAGGATTTGAATTTTGAAGATGAATAAAGCAGACGTTTATTTAACGGAGGCTGTGAAGTGACTTGTGGTACAGGTTAGCTGGTCTTGCCTCTAAAGAATTGAGTAAAATCATTAAAAGAAAAAAGAAAACAGCAACAACAACAAAAACCAACCACTTGTAAATGGCTGCATGCTGGAGTGCCCTGTTTGCTAGTATCGGCCTCACTCAAAAGGTTGTTTTCTGAATTTTGTGTTGCACTTAGCTGAGGCCTAACTAGCCCAGAGCCCAAAGAATGCTGCTGTTGGCTCTTCAAGTAGTGTAGTGGGCATCTTGCTTAGCTGGGTTTTGTGTTACTGAGTTCCCGACTTGGAGAGTGATGGCAGTGGGTGCGAATAAATCAGAGGAAGGTTGGCTTGTGTTGGTGCAAATGCTTGAGCTGGTATAAGTGTGGAAGTGAGTTGCACGTGGGTTTGAGCCTTGCTGCTGGCTTGACTATACCTGGTGGATGCCCTTCAGATGCAGGGAAGTGTGACCTTCATTCTCGGTGTGTTGGTTATGCTCCAATGGGTTGCGATCTTTTTATCTGGCTTTTGGTTAGGTTTGGTTTTGATCCTGATTTTATCCCCAGCACATAGTCATACATGTTATGAGAGTACTTTAGAAAGTTCATAGAAAAATGGAAGAAAAAGGTCAATTGATTTTGATATAAAAACTTTTTGAAATGCATACATGTTTTTTGCATCATAGACCTTTTCCAAGACTTTTTCCCAAGATTCTTTCCTAGTAAATCTTTAAATTAGTTGCTTTAAAAAGTTATGCATTAAAAACTTTTTCTATTCTTATATTTTTTACATAGTTGAGAGGGATACATGCTCCTGAGGGCATCTGACTAGGATGGGGAAGGTCAGGTATGGAGGAAGGTGGTGGGACAAATGTTTTTCTTTTCCTTCTGT